TTTTTTTTTTTTTTTTTTTTTTTTTCTTTTTTTTTATTTGTTCATTTTCTCTGATTCCTTCTGCTGAGGTGTCTGTACAGCATTAGAGTGCAGCAGCAGCAGCAACCTGCATGCAGTGCTTTTGAATGTCTATGTTATTTCTCCGTCGTGTTTGTGTTGCTTTGCTGCTGTTTGCTGCTGCCTCTTGCTGCTGCCGCCTGTTGCTGCTGTGTGTTCCTGCTGCTGCTGCTGCTACCTGTTGCTGCTGTATGCTGCTGCTGCTGCTGCTGCTGCTGCTGCTGCATGCAGTTGCCGCCACACCCAACGGTGAAGGCATTGACTCGGTTTCATGCTGACGACTACATTGGTTTTTTGCGTTCTACTGCTGAGTCTTCTTCCTCTGGTTTTAATGGGGGTGGAGGGGCCTTTGGTTCTTCCCCCAGCACAGATGCTGCTATATCAGCATCATCATCAGCTGCTGCTGCTGCTGCTGCTGCTGCTGCTGCTGCTCTAAGCCCATCTGGTGTTGGTATTAAGACGCAGCAGCACTCTATACATGTTCAAGGGCTCCCGGTTACTGCAGCATCAGCATCACACTCCACCAGCAGAAGTCTCTCCCCTGCAGGCCCCAGCTGCAGCAGCACAGCCAGTATAGAAACAACAGATTCAGGGGGGCCCCCGGGGGCCCCCGCCTTTATTGACCAAATAAGTAGATATAATATAGGCGAAGACTGCCCAGTATTCGACGGCCTCTGGGAGTACTGCAAAACATACAGCGGGGGCAGCATTGAAGGTGCACGCAGAGTCGTGCGGGGAGAGTACCAATGCGCCATCAACTGGTACACCAGCAGCAGCAGCAGCAGCAGCAGCAGCAGCAGCAGCAGCAGGAGCATATGCTTGTGCAGCAGCAGATCTGGTGATCGATGAAAGGAAGCATAGCAAGGGAGGGATAGACGGGGGGCTTGGTTTGGGGCGCGGAGTCGATGTGCTGCTGCGGGTGCTGCTGCATGCGCAGGGCTGGGGGCCTTCACCACGGGAAGAAGCACGAGGCGAGCGGCTTTTGTTACGTCAATGACTGCGTGCTCGCGGCACTGGAATTTCTGAGATATAAACATCGTGTGCTGTATGTAGACGTGGATATACACCACGGCGATGGAGTCGAGGAGGCGTTCTACACTTCCCCTCGGTAGGCCGAAACGAAACAAAGCCCAGCGAAGCATAGCGACAGAAGCATGACAAAGCACCACCATCGCCAGCATCATCAGCAGCAGCAACAGCAGCAGCAGCAGCAGCAGCCAGTTGCTTGCTAGGGCGGCTTGTGAGGGTTCAGAGAGGGGGAAACTTGCATGTTGTTGGGTTGGCGTGCAGAGTCCTGTGCTGCTCGTTCCATAAGTATGGCCACTTCTTCCCCGGCACGGGTGCACTGGAAGACATCGGCATGGAGGAGGGCCTCGGATACAGCGTTAATGTGCCGCTGCACGAGGGGATCGATGACGATATGTATTCTTCCCTCTTTGTCCGGGTGCGCATGCATATCCTCAGCTCCAGGGGGTGTAACCCTTCATCTTTCCTTGCTCGGCTAAACGATAAAGGAGGAAATTCTTGCATGCGCCGCTGCTACTGCTGCTGCTGCAGTTGTTGTTGTTGCTGCTTTCGATACTGCTCGCTTGCTGCAGGTGATGGATCAAATTATGGACATATACCGCCCTGAAGCTGTCGTTCTTCAGTGTGGAGCGGATTCAGTTGCGGGCGATCGGCTCGGCTGCTTCAACTTGTCTCTTGACGGTGAGTTGCTGCTTTCCAGTGTAATGCAGAAATCGAAGCATTTCAAGGCAGAATGCTTTGCCCTCAACGGTCGTCTTCTTCTTTTTCTGGGGTTTGTGTGTATGACGAAGGACATAGTGAAGCCGTACGCTACTTCTGCAAGGCTGGGGTCCCCGCCATCTTCCTCGGTGGTGGCGGCTATACCCTGGGAAATGTACCCAGGTGTTGGGCCAAAGAGACCGGCTACATTTTGGGGGTTGACCTTGATCCAAGTACGCACCAAGGCCCCTCGAATTCACAATTTCGCAGTTTTCTGTGGCCCATTTGAAAGGCTTTGCCAGTCATGTTGCGGTTGCGCAGGCAGCACTCGTTCTGTATACGTGAAACTTCATGGCAGTGTCTAGGGGTTTGCTTTGCCTTTTGTGTTTTGCAGAGATACCTGACACCTGCGTATACCGTGGATATTACGGGCCAAACTACGAACTCAAAATCCGCACAACGAATATGGAGAATAGAAACGACGAGAAGTACATTGATTCCATTGTGTACGTCCTCACCAAACGCATCTCCAGCATTGGGGTTTCCACTCGGGTTGGAGGGAAGCTGCCACTCTTGCAGTGAATAAATGGCGCATTTCTTTGATTGGTATTTTTTGGTGCAGACAGAAGATAAGCACGACGTTGCGGGAGCACGTCTACCCTATCGGAGGACAAATATCCGCCAGTAGGTTTACAACAACACTGCGGGAACACTGGTGTAGCAGATTACTTAGCTATTCCACAGTTACCTACCCACCTCCCTGTACAGTGCGTTGGTCATTGGTCAGTGTATGGATGCTAACCCTTGTTGGTTCACTTCCTCTGTGTCATTTTCATTGTTTTTTATGCAGATTTTACGGACGTTGAAAAGGAGACCGGAGTTGTTCTACAGAGCAGCCGCGAAGAAAGCGGTACGCATACGCACTTGGCGAGTGTTGCGCATACGGTTCGGACCCCTCTACTTGGTGGCCTTGTTTCGTTAAGTTTTATTACGTGCACATATTCGCATCAGTGATCCAAGTGCTGAGGAATCGTAAGATATATGCGTGGCCCAATTTTGTTAGACATTGCGCAGGACTTCGGCATTTGCATTCATTTTTTGGTTTCATATTGCAGATGATAAGAACGGTGATGAAGAGGAAGCGGCACAGCACTTTTGCGTTGCCAGCAACCGCGACCGCGCATAATATTGTGGAAGGAGGTTCGGCGCCCTGGCGATATGACCGGTGGACGCCTTCTGCTTTGGTGGTGCTGGATGTCAGAATGACAGCAGCAGCGTGCTTGAATGATTTTTCTCCTGCTGAAGTCTGCTCTTAATGGCATTTTGAGGGAGTAGGAGCTTTGCTCGCGCTGACAAGAGTGTCTTTATTTTAAGGCAGTCGGGTGGTCCTCTTCCTGCCGTCGGCCGGTTCGTCGTGGCCCGTGAGTAGGGTCCGCTTGCTGCGGTGGTTAATGTCCCCGCCTCGATCTTGTAATGGTGAAATTCCTAGATCGGAAGGACTCTCCTTCAGCCCCTCCTGGATGTTGTCGGACACCGGATGGTTTTCACGATGCGGCAGCAACATTTTGAACTTGGGCTTTGGTAAGGGCTGAGAGTATACTCAACACAAGGCCTTTTGCGAGTTGTGTTTCTTCGCTGCTTACCATTGGCGTCTGCGATGGGATGGAAGGTGAATGGGGACGAGGCGACTCCATGGGGCCGCCAGCATTAACGTGCACACTTGCACATTCTGTGACTCCGGGTGAACAGGCCTCCGTCATCCAGGATGCCTGAAGCAGCCTGACAACGCCTGAATTTGTTTTAAGCCCCTTAGTGATGGGGGCAAGCTAGGCATTTAGTACCTGCGTGGTCCCCGCAGCCAACAGCCTGAGATTGCCATATGAATTTCAAGGGTTCAAGGCATGCTGCTTTGTGGTGAATTTGGCACACCATATTTTCTGCAGAGAGCTGCAGAACTTCGACATTATCCCCGCAGAGGCGTGACGGGACGCTCCCCACATACTGGCCGTCCTCCATTGAAAAAAAGAGGAGGCTGGTTTCTCCTGGGCTCCGGAGGCCTCTTTTCGTGGGTTCATTCCGCCGGTCGCCAACAGGTTCGGGAGAGTCGAAACTTTTGGGCGTCCTTCCACCCGTTTGCTTAGCAGGGTGAAGCTCCAGTGCACTCACGAATGCCACCTCGGAGTTGCCTGAGATAATATTAAGAAGCATGACTGACGTCATAGCTAGCCGAGAGTTGTGTGTGCTGCTTTTTTTACATGGGACAAACGTCTCTCTGTTTCCTGGAACACAGTGAACAGATTGCTCTAGAATAGATGATAAATTAGGCCTACTGTGTGATACATGCGATGGGCACACGACTAGAAGGTTCGCGCCAGTGCACTGCTGGCACAAGCCAGCCTCACGAAGGCCTAAGCGATATCTGAAGAACTAGGAATAGTTTTTTAGAGATGATTTGCTTACCATTTATCTGAATTCTGTGCAGCGTATCAAGTCTGTTGCTCTCGAGAATCCAGAACTGAACCACATCGGTGGATATCGTAAAAAATCTTCTGGCTCTCTGCTCGGGTGAAAAAATTGCGAACGTTTCCGCATAGAGGAATGCACAAAAACCGAACCCGATCCAAATACTTCTTTCCCATGACTCTCTCTGGCACCTGTAATCATCAATTAAGCAGCTGAACAAATGTCCGCTTGAACAACGCCGCACCTCGAAAAAGACAAAGCCAACTGGTGAAAAGGAGTCGCGCGTATGCGGGACCTTCGTGCTTGCTCCGCCTTCTAGGAGGTCTATGACTCGTAAGCTTGCTGCACGCAAAAGAACACAAGGAATACACTGAGGTCTAGCTCTGTTGTTCCATTAACGAAGGAATGGAGCTTACCCCGATCTTGCTTAAACAGAAGCTTCGACACCAGGAGCCTACGGCAGCAGTGCAACACAAATCTTCGGGAAGTTTTGCGGTGATTACATACTCTAGAAATTCCACGCGTCTGTATTGATCAATCGGGATGTCTATTTCCGCCTGTTGAGACCAAATTCCTGCATGTGTTTCTTTTGATGCAAAAATAGTGGTAGCTGCTGCTTTACCACGCGTCTTCCGTCTTCTACGTCGAATACAGATGCAGCAAAGCATCGTGCGTTTGTTGGTTTGAATAATGCAGCGAGTCCATGCGAAATTCTTCACCGGTATAGCATAATTATTGCGTATTTGCTTCTATTATGCACGGTTTCAGTACCTGACTTCTAATCGAAAGGTTTGTGAAATTTCAGTTCTGTATTGGTGCAGTTGTGACTTGCCTTCAAATTCCTCTCCGTGGACAGCAAACACCAGTTTAAATTGGGTATGATTCTGAGAGGAAACTCATTAGATATTGTCTCACGACGCATGAAGCAGTGAGCATACCCAAAACTGGAACGACTGGACATCGCCTTGCTGTGCAGCCAGGATCACTCCGTTTGCCTCTGTTGTTGCAGCAGTGTCTACGCGGCGGTTTAAAAAATAATGCAAAAGGAGTATTATCACCGTCAAACTCAAAAAACGCGGGGTGGGACAAGACGACGTTCGCTTTAGAGTGCACTGGATCAATGCTTAATTCTCCAGATGGTCTTATGCTTCGTACCGAAGTCAGAAGCTATAGCAGGGGCTCGCAGTTGTCCTTCTTCTAGAGCCTATGAGATGCGCGACTGTTGGGGTCTCTATCGGCGTCAAGCTCAACACAGAGTGACGTACAGATGCAATAAATATTTGGCACTGGAGGCCCCCGGGATTCGGCTCGAAGACGACGGCAACCGTGTCATTGCTCGAATGGTATATCGCAGTAGTGACCTCTGTTCAGAAAGGTTGATAAGGTTAATTCGTTCAGCAACCCAGGGGCCATGCCCTAGCTCAAGCTCAGCTTACTTTTCCACGGAGCCGCTGGGTTCAAGTCTGCTAGAAACTGTGTTGTTTCCTGCAAAAGCACCGGCGTTACGTGCTGTGTTGGTGCAACAGGAGCTGAGGTTGTAGATAGGTACCGTATCATAGGCTCGGCAGATGCCACCTTCAGTGCTGCGAGCGCGTATTTCGTGAATTCTTTTCCGTCAACACAAATAAAAAGTTTATTGCTTACACGATGACAGCACATCTGGCGGCGAAAATTATCTCCTTTATCTTCCTGCATGAGTGGAACTCTTTAGTTCGTGGAATGGAGCCCGTTGATGACTTGGGTGACCTACCTGACCCCCAAAAGCGCAGACGCAGGCAGCGGCTGTTCAAAAAGATCAATTGTTTTGACCTAAAGTGTTAAAGTTGAGGGTTAAGAAACTCCAATTCATTCTGCGTTGAAATATTTTCTATCTCACTACATTTAGCCGGGAAACAATCGTCCTCTCTTGGGCCTTTCCTCGTTTCTGCTCCATCACCTTAGAGCGGGGCAAAAGGTTGCCATGCCTCTTTTGTGAACGAATATGCCCCAGCATTGTGAAAAATGTTTTGTTAAAGTTGGAAAAAATTCAGAAAAGTCGAAAAACTCGAAAATATCAGGCCCCTCTAGGTGGCCATTCCGTACAAATCCGCAAAAAAACAATCCAAGAAAATTTCAGAAAAAGAATCAGCGCATATTGCAAAGAGAATTCGAAACAGGAGGAAAAAATGAAAGTGACAGGCGTCTGTGTCCGCGATCTCTCCGCGGTGTACATACGTCAAGGTGTTCCCCGTACACCGTAGGCCGCAACCGGGGATCAAGCATCCCCTTGGTTTCCGATGAGCTCCAGCACGGGCCTCGGCCGCTCCGAAGTTGGCGTTTCAGTTTCCTAGTGAAATCTCATGTTTATCGTCCTCACATTTCGAGTAGTAGTCGGCAATACAAAGCTTGAACTCGAGGCTGAAGGAGTAATAGGGCTCGGCTCCGCTGGGTTCGTGCTTGCAACCCAGATCGGAAACGGCGACACGCGAACGGAAGAGCTCTATCCGCAAATTATAACATAGTGCCGCGTTCCGCGGCAACACATTTGCAAAGCTGCAATTTTAAGTAGATGAAAACTATCGGCGGCGCATCAGCAAGTTCGTCACAAATCGAACGACCGCCCGTGCGAAAGCACGTAAAGCAGACATTTTAATGAGCTTCCAGGTCAGCTTGGCGTATTCACGAGCTATCAACAGGACCTGTTGCATAGGGCTGGCAACCTCCATTGTGTATCTGTTTCCCGTTCTGTTTTCTGGAGGTCTGTGCATCCATTCACTAGAGGAGCTGGCGGTCTGCTGCGATCGGAAATCATTTCTCGTATTTCTGGGGATGTCAGAACCTGAAAGAGCGATCGCATCAGGCACAACTGAGACTGCAGCCCATCATCACCAGAAACTCTAGCAAAGAAATATTACCCACAGGAGAAATTCCTAAGCGGCAGCAGAACTTTCACATCTACGAATCCACCGCCAAAACCGGAGACGGCTCGCGGTCGGCGTTCTATCGACGAAATCCAAAAAAGCCAAAAGCACTGCTCACTACCCTAGGGAGATGTATTGTAGTTTATACAACATACAGGCACGCACCTGTATCTCGTCCAACATCGCGTTCTGTCGTTTCAGTTTGAATGCCTCCTCCTGGGAAGCGTCGTGTTGTGGTTCTTCTCTCGATGATCCGTCCTCCCCGTGTGAAGTAACTGACTTGCGTGCTGCCTTGCGGGTTCGCTCCTTCGCCATACAGCACAACAGAACAGTGAAGGCCCACTATAACAAATAGCAGCGCCTTTATCTGCACACTGAAACTGATTCTCCAGGGAGACGTAACACACAGCATCTACCCCTGTAGACTAACTAATCCTTCTGGTATTGCAACTCTTATGAGATATTTACCTGTACCCGAAAGGCCCCGTAGAAGTTCGTAGATTTCGTGGTCGTCAAGGAAGCTCTTTGAGGGCCGTGACCCCATTCTATGTTCAAAGAAATCATGGCGCTGAAACGGCATGCCCCTCCCCCAACGCATAGCAGTTTGCTGGTTGAGCGCCTGCTGCAGAATCTCCTCTAAGGAAACACCGCCGAAGGCTCGGCGAAACAAAAGCTCGGCTTCTTCTGGTGTAAGGTTTCCAAAGTGAACACCGCCTGCAGGAGGTACAGCATGCGTACGTATGCATCGTGATTAGGTGTTGTTTTCTCTGCTGAAGCAGCCTCTGTGGTCGAACAGATGCATGCATCTCATAGCGAAAGACCCGCCAGATGAACAGCTGCGTACCTCTGTCAGCTCGCCCTCTAGAAGCGAAAGGGTCGCTGTAGCCCGAGTAGCCGCCTGCTTGGCGGGATGAGGCCGCGTCAATAGACGCATCGTACTGCGCCCGTTTCGCTGGATCTGACAAAGTCTGGTAGGCTTCGCTTGCATCACGAAACTTCCTCCCCGCTTCTTCTCTGTTGTCGGGGTTCCTGCAGAAGTAAACGCAGAACGCAGTCGAAACAATAGACTTATGAAACAGCGACAAGGCATACATAGGCACGAAGCAGCGCGAACTCTATGGCGGCATGTTACCTGTCTGGATGCCACTTGAGCGCTGTCTGTCTGTACGCCTTTTTCAACTCTTCTTGAGTGGCGTTTCTCTTGACCCCCAAAATCGAGTAGTAGTCCGGCACTGAGGAGGAAGTTGTGAAGCATCGGCTGCTAAAGGGAAACCCGAAACAACATGCGGCCTCCCTGTACAGCGCAGTGCTACTGAATACCCCCAAACTGCGTTGCAGGGCTTGGCTCGTGAAGGGAGACGCCGCGAACCCGGAGATACACCTCGACCCGTTGTACCCTGTCCAGTGCTGCTTTCTAAGAGTCTGAACGTACGCTGCGCGCGGTTGCAGCTGCGTAGCTACACTGGATTCTGCATTGAGGCAACGGGGCGATCGCGTTGGCGAGAAGCCTGATTCTTTAAGCCGAATTGCCAGTGGGAACGGCGTCAGATGCTGGTCAGCGCCCAACAGCTGCCGAGCATCTGCTGCTGCGCCGGCGCTGCTCTGTGCTGCATCCCGTACAAGGCCGCTGAACCCAAGTCTGCTGTGTTTGAGCAACACAGGCGGAGAAGAAAGGACAGAGCGGAGGGAGCGGGCAGTCTGTAAAGACCCCATTCTACCCGCTCTTACCTCCAGATTCGCCAATAGATACTGCTGCGTCCTTGGTGCCCTGTGCACCCCTCCCTAGGGTTTAGGGTTTAGGGTTTATGCAGACCCCCGTGGCGCAACTCAGACACTAGAGGGGCCCTGGGGCGTTGAGGCTGCAGGATCTGCATTGGTCGGTCTCGGCATCCGGGTGGAAGCAAAAGTATATACAACTATATCTGTAGGTATATATTCATATTTTTATATTTGTATTTATATTCAGATGTATTTACACGCCGGCGATTCAAGCTTACACGGACGGCTCCGATCGTGCGTTCAATAAAAAAGGTTTTTATTGGCTTTCTAAGAAAATAAAAACCTTTATAAAATATGTCCTGGTGGAGGCAGAGATGCAGGAATCAAGCTCTTGAGCCAATGCGCACGGATACCCCCAGTTCAACACCAACGGCGTCATCAGCAGGCAACAGAAGAAAGGAATGGTATAACCCTGCTGGTGTTTCTTGTGGTAACACCAACACTGAGGGTATCTTTATGAAGACACCACAGAGAAATTCTCTTAGCGCTTTCTTTTTATGTATTGGGGGCCGATGAACGCCGCCGCTACCGACGCTGCGAGAGGGGCCCCATAGACTGATGCATGTCATGCATGCTCGCCGGGGGCCTTTTTTTTGTGTTGTTTAGTTGTATAATTATAATAAGGAGTAATTTATATTCATTAATACTTTGTTTTTTGTTTAAATCAGAATGTCTGAAGCTCGCAGAGGTAAATATACTGCCAGCTTTCCTGCATTCATATTCAGGGCATTGACGTTCATCATGGGTCTCGATGAGCGCCACACAGCAAGCGCTGAAACGCCGCGCAGTTTACGGAGAAATATTCAGAAAATTTTTGCAAATTAAAAACAAAAAAGAAAACCGGCAAAGGCAAGCCGAACGAAAATTTCTTACTAAATGTTGAAATGAACTGCCTACACGGCTAGAGTCATATAGTATACAGGATGCCCTCTTTATATATATATATATATATATATATATATATATATATATATATATATATATATATATATA